TAAAATGGGCAAAAGATATGAACAGACACTTCACAAAAGAAGACATTCGAGCAGCCAACAAACACATGAAGAAAAGCTCAACTTCACTAATCATCAGGGAGATGCAAATCAAAACCACACTGAGATACCCCCTAACTCCAGTCAGAATGGCTATCAGTATTCTTTAGGGAATCTTTCTTACCTGTCTTTCTTCACTTCTTCCCGGCCCTGTGTCTCTTTCTCACCTGATAGTTGGTATATATATCTGTTTTCCCTCTCGCACTTCTCTCTTTCACTTATTTTGACTTATGATTTTATCATTGTAACTGTTGGTTTAGATCACATTTGTTGTTTACCTTCTGACTTACACTGTTTCTCGATTTTATTGCCCTGTCTCTGTGTTGCTTCAGTACTCTTTAGTAGAATCTTTCTTACGTGTCTTTCTTCACTTCTTCCTGGCACTGTGTCTCTTTCTCACCTGATAGTTGGTATGTATATCTGTTTTCCCTCTCACACTTCTCTCTTTCTAGCTCCCTATTGACCTCCTTCCTCCATTATTTTCCTCTTTTATATGCCCCCTTTTTAAATCTAGGGACCAAGACTGCATACTGCTGAATAGACAGACTGTAAAGCAGAGAGAAAAGTGAACAAAGTCAGAAGACCCTCATAAGAAAGAACAGGTCATTGCAGAAGAGAAATAAAAGCAACCCCACCTTCCCTCAAAAACAGAATTGAAGAGGGGGAGGGAAAGGGGGAGAGGGAGAAAAATTTACAGAAATGAAGAAAAACCGAAAGAAGAGTATGGGTCTCCCAGACGCCTGGGAGAGCAGACACTGAGAAAACTGACTTTGGAATGCAAACAATGAAAAGTCCCCAGAGTGAAGGGTCTCAAACTGCAAATGTAGATATCAAAACAATAATGGAGAGATTAAAAAGAATTGAGGAGACACAAGAAGAAACTAGGAAGGAGCTGATATCTGAGATAACAATAATAAAGAATACTGTGAATGAAATAAATAACAAATTGATAAGCATGGAAAGCAGAATTACCCAAGCAGAAGAAAGAATCTCAGAGCTTGAGGACCAAAATATAGAAATAACCCAAACTCTTAAAAACACAGAAAATAAACTTAAAAAGACAGAACAAAATCTTCAAGAGATGAGTGATTACCTCAAGAGGCCTAACCTAAGAATAATCAGACTCCCTGAGGCAGAAAGAGAAACAGAGACCGCATTGGAACAAACTTTCCATGAGATCATTCAAGAAAACTTCCCTTCTCTAATCAGTGATGCAAAAATTCAAGAGATTCAGAGAACCCCTGCAAGACAACAAATGAGAAGACCAACTTCTAGACACATAATAATTCGCCTAAATAAAGTAGGCACAAAAGAAAAAATCCTAAAGGCAGCAAGAGAAAAAGGCCAGGCACCTACCATGGAAGACCAATCAGAATAGCAGCAGATTTATCTACAGAAACCCTGTAGGCTAGGAGAGCTTGGAGCCCTATCTTCAAAGTCCTAAAAGAGAAACAATTTCAACCAAGAATAACCTACCCGGCCAAGCTAAGCTTCATCAGTGAGGGAGAATTAAAATCTTTCCCAGATATCCAATCCCTAAGAACTTATGCTGCCACCAAACCATCTCTACATGAACACTTAAGAAAGTATTAACACAGAAGAAAAGGAAAAAAGAACAACGTTCTTCACAAGAGTACAGGGAAAAGAATAAAATATACACGAACCAACCCCAA